AAAAAAAAAAAGGGTCTCCGCCTGCTCGGACCGCCAAATGGAACCCCCAACTATGCCCTGACCGTCCCGCAGTGTGACAACCCACGAACAGAGGAGCCGTCTGCACTTGCCGCAGACATAAAAAAAAAAAAAAAAAGCAACCAAAAGAAAAAACATAAACATGAAATAAAATTACATGAAAAAAAAAAAAAAACTCAATCGCATTCCTCGGGTCAAAAGACACATGTGACAAGACGCGCAATCGAGGCTGGGCACAGCCTTCCGGCTGCGCGACAGAGAAAACCAACGACGGTTCTCCGTCCACGCCCGTCGCCGGCGTTACGTCGCGCAACTTTTTTCCTGGTGGTCAGTCTATTTTTTTGCTTTTTTTTTTTTTTTTTGCTATTCTCGTTGTCGACACCTTTGTGTTTTTGGGCCTGTTGTCGTCCTCGTCGCCTCCGGCACACCCTGCTGCACAACGCGGAGGACAGGATCGCGCACACAACACGGACCCGTTCGCAAGCTATTACAGGCGGCGATGCGCACCCCGTCAACGACCACCTTTCGGGCTCCGCGCAGCAACCGGACCACACCTCCGGCCACGAGCACAAGTGCGCCGTGCGGGAGGGGAAGAGGGGGGCTGCGATAGGGGGCGGGGGGAGCGATCCCGACCATGAGGACACTTGGCGGCCCTACAAGAACGCCGTGCGCTGCCGCAACCCGCGCAGTCACGACATCATACTGGTTCACTACCGCAAGCCAAAGAAATGTGAAATGACGCCATTTGCGCCGCCGTTGCCGCGCAGTAGTGAACTGCATTGCTGGGAACTTAAGAGCACAATTTTTCCAACACATACTTGTTGGAAATGTGTTGGAAACATGTTGGACCAATGTTGAACGCATGTTGAAAACATGTTGGCCGCATGTTGGTAAACGGTTTAAAACATGGACCCGACCCTACTAAACGGTTGGACACATCATTTCATGGAGTTCCAATGCTGGTGGGCCCAAGTTGAAAACTTGATGAAATTTTGCCACAATTTTTTTGTTGTTAAGGAGAGGACAATCTCAGTCATCTTCAAGGACATCGCGAGATTCCTGTCAAAAAGAATCAAAGATGACACAATTCAGGCATTTGAAGATGGATGGGTATTGGGTAGCGAACGCTTTCCATCACAAGTTCGAAGAGGTAAAGTGCAAATTGAGGGGCCCAATGCCCTCTCGTATGTAGCAAGGACTCGAGAGATAGCAGAGTTTATGATTAGCGAAGGAGGGGTAGATATCCCGATGGGACCAGTGGCCTACATAATACAATTCAAGCCGTGGATGACCAAGGTCAAATTCAGGGAGTTGAGAAGACAGGAGGATAACCGTACATTCTGGGTAATTGCTATCCAAGTACTGCTGGACGACATGCCTTTTATTTATGCACAGATCGAACGAGTAGTTAGGAAGATAGTCGTGGGACATCCACCAGATGCAGATCTGACAAGACCGGCGTTAGTCAATGCACGGTTTGATGTGTATCCGGAGGCGAAAGGTAATATGAAGGACAAGCTATGGATTATCACTTTGAAAGGAGACGAATTAAAAGTCAAGTTGGTGTGCGCTTCAACACCAAAGTGTAAAATCTGCAAGCAGTTCTTTCACGTCGAAGCGGAGTGCAGAAGAGGAGGCGGTCAACTAAATTCAGGGGGAAACATAGCAATGAATGCGAATCTGCAGCAACCGGCACAATCCGGAACGGGGAGACAAAGGGAACGCAGACCTTCATACAACGGACCCTTGGGACCTCGACCTTCACAAAACGTCAACGGAGGTAGCTCTCCAGCAAGGATACCGACAGGCATCACGTCGACCCCTAATCCGGTATTCTTCCCAGGTGCACTTCATCAACCACCCTCAACATTCAACATGATGCAGTTAGCGGCGGCCTTGTATGGTGCACCTCCTTTGGGTCCGAATGCGCAGCTCGACGTGAATTGGATGCAGCAGGTCTTGCATATGGGCTTTATTAACGGAGGCCCTCCTTTTAAAAGAGGAAATATGGGAGGAGAAGGACTTGGAATGCCCAGACTATCGACTTTCCAACAATATTAGCCAGGCCAGGAACGTTGGGCCGTCGGAATGCAAGGGCAGACATCCGGAACATGAACCAATCTCTTAAGTGGAGGAGGTAACGTACCTCACGACACATCTGGAGCAGCGACCAACAGAGGAGGCCAAGGCTTCGTTACGCCGACAACAACACCACACAGGGTGAGAAGGGAAACCTTGGAAACCTCACTTGGCCAAAGACCAGATGAGAGGAACTCGGGGACCGTCGGGTCACTAGCACAAAGAACCAGTGCTCAACTTTGATCACGCCCTTCCGGGAAGCAGAGAAGGCTGAGTATGAGCTCGGTTAAGGAACTTAGAACAAAAACCTTGGAAGATTCATCGGCACACACTCCACCAACAAGCGATGCTAACGCCACCCGAGGAAGAAAAACCACCAGAGATAGGCGACTTGCCTCTAATGCTAATAGCCAGGGGGCTGATGCCAAGCAAGTTTTTGCGCCTCTAGTATGTACCTTCGTCAGGAACGGGTGGTGGGCGGTAATGTGGCAAACTGCCTCTCACCCGCTTACATACTTGTCTCAACAGGTAAATGATGTTCCCACACCTCTCACGATCACCCAAGCTTTGAAGGTACTCTTCTTGGAGTCCTTTCCGATGAGATTAATTCCTAAGTGCCCGATGGCGCGAATAATCACAGATGTACAGGTACAAAAGATCAAACTCTTTGTCCCATTAATCGACGCCAGATTCACACCAGACTACTCGCTCCCTTCTGGAGGGGATTGGTTTGAGATTAGTGCCCCTCGTATGGTTCACTGATCGTAGGAAACAGGATTTGGGCATGATTGCTCTAACCCCCAGAATCTCAGCGGAATGCATGGTGGAACTGAAGATCAAACTCCACAAAGACAAGAGGTTGGACTCACAGTTTGTTAAAGAGGACAAGGCTAAAGAAATAGATTCACGATAAGCACGTATCCATAACCTGTCTGCAAGAAGAAAAGTTAAATGAGAGAAAATTCAAAAACTCGGAAACTGGTGGGACGGGCCTTAGGTTTGGTCCCCAGCCAGGGGTTCGAGTGGAGGAGTAGCAATTTTACTGCACGGAAACGCCGAAGTGGAGATAACAGATCACCATGCGGATCTGTGGGGTAGATGGGCGTGGTTGAAGGTGGGGATAGGGCTTGAAGAATGGACAATTGCTACAGTCTATGCTCCAGTTAAAAAAAAAAAGAGGGCGAGCTTCATGTGGGACCTTCTATTTTGTATGCCAGACATGGATAACTTAGTAATTGTGGGGGATTGGAACCAAACATTAGATGCGAACAGAGAAATCACAGGAAGAGACTCGGCTAAAGTTATAGCCCCAGTCACCGACTTCATGTTGGAGCTACACGTTTTTTATCCTTTCAGATTGTTGCACCCGTTAGACAGAGGCTAGACTTGGTACTCGAATCAGGGGAATGAGAGATGATTGAATTACTTCTTAATGAATGAGAGAGGGGTGGAGGCACTCATTAGGGTTAACACTCATAGCCAATTACCGTCAGACCATTCACCTTTTTTTGCTGATTTCAGCATCGGAGAGGATCGAACTTTCGAGAAGGGCTGCTTTCGGTTAAATACCGAAAATATAAAAGACCCACACTTGAGAAACAAGGTAGTTGGGTTTTGTGAAAGATGGGGTCTTAGGAAGGAACAATTTGACTCACTGTCAGACTGGTGGGAAATAGGATCGAAGATCCTGTCGAACCTGCTGAATGTTTTTTCCAAAGTAAAAGCAACAGAAAGAAATAAGGAAGAGAAAATGTGCAAGAAAATTGTGGAATACGCAGAACAAAGCATGAAGGAACATCTCATCTCCGAAGTGGTTTGGGGCCGACTACAGCAAGAGAAGGCGGAAACGTGGTCAGAAAGGCTAAGGATAAAAGGTATTGTAGTCAATGACAGGATGACAAAAACGTCTTTCCAAAAGTTGTTGCCGAGAAGAACAACGGACCCGATGAAAGAACTGAAACACCCGTTCTGTGACACGAAACCAAAGACATCAGCACCTCAATAACTTTGTTCGTTTTTACACCGCATGTTACTATCAGGATATACTCTCTTCGAAAAGACCGGAGGAAAGAGTCATCTCAGATTTAACGATAAACAACAACTATTGGTTAAACCTCCAAGTTAGATTGCCTCAACATGGCCGCCTCGACTTAAACAGACTTGTCTCAGTTGAGGAAGCAAAGGAAACGCTGAGTGAAATAGGCTTTGGAGAGAACTTCTGCAGGTCGGTGATTGTGATGTACCATTTCTCAACAACTTCAGTTATGATCAATGGTCACTTCTCCAAATCTGTCAAGTTGTCAAGGTCCCTGCGACAGGGGTGCCCGCTGACCCCTCTCCTCTTTGTAATCCAGTCGGAGACGGTGTTAAGCAACATCAGAGCATACAGTGAGATTCGTGGCGTTACAGCAGGAGTCAGATACTGTAGAGTCAAGACACTTGCAGATGACTTATTCGCAGTGGTTGAGAACATAGACAATGCCCTGACTGCTCTGCGAGCCTGCTTGAAGGATTATGAAGAATTGTCGGAAGCTGCAATCAACTGGTCAAAGTCGACCTACCCTTACCAAGTTCGTACTCCTTGAGGGTGCAGTGGGGCATGAAGCGGGTGGATGACAACCGGTCGGAGCGTTTCTTAGGTGTACAAGTGGCAATGCTTTCTTGTGCAGCTGATCAGAATGAGTTAATGCAGTAGAAGGTAATGCAGCGACTCTCCACGTGGGAGAAAGCCCCACATTTGTCGCTCCTGGGCAGAGCACTGGTGATTAATGCACCCTTATTTGCGTTATTGTGGTATGTGGGGAATATCAGACATTTGGGTCCAAAGGCAAAAGTTGTACTTAGAAGAAGATCAACACACTTCATTTGGAAACCATTTGGAAAATAAACGGAGGGATTTCTTTCCAAAGCGGCCTGGGACACCATTTGTTGTAAACGAGAAGAGGGTGGGCTAGGGCTGAGAGACCCAGAAAAACAGAATGTAGCAATGTTGGCTCAATGGGCCATCCGAGCAATGCGGGTCACCTCAGACGAACATTGGATCCAACTTGCAGAAGCCACATTGATGAAAAGTTGGCAGTTACAGCGGACAAAAAAAGTTTGGGTTTGTCTTTGGATAGACTCGTACTTGCGAAGACCGGTTCAGTCAGAGTTTTGGATAAACATGTTGAAGGCATGCCGGAAAGTGAAACCAGATCGGTGGGTAGAACCAAACACTAAACAGAAAATTCTTCAGCAGATAATCTTCGAAAACCCGCTAACCGGGGACAAGGACGACAACTGGTTTGCAGCAGACAGAACAAGAGGAAGCTTTTAGAGAACATGGGTAGAGCGAGGAATATCTCGATTAAAGGATATCTGGGATTAATTTCGGGAAAGTTGGATCACCGCACAAAAGCTTAGAGAGAGGGTGGGAAACATAAGATCAATTGAGGACAAACTCGATGCAGTTACAAGTGCGATTCCGCCAGCCTCGTATGCACGCCTAAGTCCGGAGGGAATAGGCCCACCCGACACGTGGTACATAGATAGTGCGGGTACAGGGTGCAATCGTTTTTGGAAACTGAAACAAATTGATATAAATGGGATTCGGAACTTCGAATGTTGGGAAAAGTCTCCAGGACGATGCTCTTCGGTCCTGCAAATCCGAGCGATGAAGGAAGGAAATACAAGACCACTCATAGTTCCTACACAGGTTCGGGTAAAAGAGAACTGTGACAAGAAAGGTAACTGGACCGCCTCCCTGCACAACAGTGGACTCTCACTTAGCTTGTTAAAGGCGGACCTAGCCCAATGGGCCTGGAGAGGAAGAGGACAAGTTGGTGAAGATGTGGTCTCGGCGGACTACACTGCCGAACTGGGATACATTATCCAAATGGGTAGCAGAAGACCTAAAACCGTAGTCTCTGAGCGTTGGGTAAAGGTTCTGAGATGTTGAAAACAACTAGCGCAAATCCCAAGTCAACGGTTGACTACTACTCTTTGGCTCCTTTCCCTGCTAGCTACCCCTTCGGCGGTTTGGTTGTCAGAGAGAGGCATGTGAGTGGATACGGTCTGCAAGCGATGTCAATGGGCGTACGCATCAACAGTACACCTTCGGTGGGACTGCCCCTGCTCAGCACGGGTGTAGAAATTGTCGGCTAAGCGGTGGGACAATTTCACACAAGGCTATGCCTTGGGACAGAGAATGGTTTCTCCTAGTAGGAATCCCAGATAACTTGCACACGGGAGACGGTTGAGGATACGTCGCCCAAGTGATTCGGGCAATCGGATTCGCTGTGATCTGGCAAGGACGCAACAAACAAGTTTTCAACAATGAGGCCATGTCTGACAAGGAACTTACAAACAGCTTCAGAGCTCAAATCCGGAACGCAATTCAGGCAGATTGGCGAAGGAAGAATGGCAGAACACAGTGTGGCCAGGGAAGGAGATGGTTTGGCAGAACATGGGCAAATGGGGACGGTTTGGTAATGGTCAAAGAGAATAACACTATGGAGTTTTAAGGATGGCTACAAAAGTAACGGCTGTTAAACCACCAGTACTTCCTAAAGTAGTGCCCGTTAAAGCACCACGATTTTAAGAAACGTACGGCCCACTACAGGAGCGCCCCAATTCATCCAACAAAAAACGTTTCTACTCTATTTTTTTCCGCAGCCAATAGCTGGGCCAAGTACTGGTGGTTTAAGCCAAGGGTAGGGAGGGCATAAGGGTTACGCAACCAGGCACACTGGGTTGCTGTTTCCGCAATAGGAAGGAAGAGGGACTGTAAGGGCTAGAGAGTGTCCAGGTGTAGGCGGTCCGGAAGGTCCACCCTGCCCGGCTAGGCAGGGATTTACCCCGGGTAGTGGGAGCAGGCTAGAATAAATAGGTTGGGTTGGGTTATGTTGTTTGGTTTCTTTGTTGGCTATGGCCAAGTGTTGTTGGGGGGTACGGCCCACATACCAATGCTGGGTAATGGTCCCAGTAAAAGTGCTACAGTGATTCATTCTGGGCTGTTTGTGAGGATTCCCGGGGCAAGGTCCCACTTGCGCAAATTAGGAGATTTCGGCCGTTGATCTTTGCTATCTACGGTCAGTATCTCTTAATTCGTGCAAGTGGGACCAAGCCCCCGGCCTCATGGTTCATTTCATGATAATGGATTTCCTCTCTTTTTCCCAAACAAAAAAAAAAGAAGAAAAAAGGAATAAGGAAACAAAAAGGAAAAGAATGTAAGGGCCTCGCCGCAGTCGGAGCCACTTGTCTATTTTTGTCGTTCGTGGAAACGCCGCCTGCCGCGTGCGCTCGCGTCATGGCTACTCGCGCCATTACTTTTTCGAATGAATTTGCCTGTAATGGCGTCCACATACATCACGGAAGATCGTAATGTCCGAGCATAAATCCGCCAGTAATGGCGTTCACATACATCACGGAAGATCGTAGTGTCCCTGCCTAAATCCGCCAGAGATCGGGATAAGCGCGCATTCCTGTTTTTGCCTTTTTTTTCATAAATAATTTGAAGCTGGGGAGCCTCTAATATGATTGTATCCAGCGTCATTCGCTTCGACCTCTCGATCTGTTGATCCGCAGTTGTAGATGTAAGGGCCAGATCCCACTGGCAAAGAGGATTGGAATAAAATGGATGAATCTGGACGTGTTCCGCACAGAGATGCAGAAAAGCAGTTCAATCACAATTGTTTGCACCTCGCCATAAACACGTCCAGATTCAGAGGCTTATTCCAATCCTCTTTGCCATTGGGATCTGGTCCTAAATCATTCAGCCACCTGACATGTACGCGCGCGATTTCCATTCCGTCGACTGCCGTTGGGTGACAGCGACGAACACGGCCTTCTGGACAGCAGGCGTGTCGGCGTCGTCCCGTCGCGACTTTACTCCCTCCCTCTCTCTCTCTCTCTCTCTCTAGCTCTTCCCTCTATTCTCTCTCTGCTTTGTCCCTCCCTGTCTCCCCCTTTCTCTTTTTCTCTCTTTCTCTTTCTGATGTCGGTGCCCGTGCAGCTACTGTGGAGTTCGATGTTTGTTCGAGAAAACTTGGACGGGCCATTAACCAGCATGACACATGTAGCCAAGAGTCCGAGCCGCATGTAGCCAAGATCGCTGCTTCTCGAGCTGGTGACAGTGGTGAGTTGTCCATTCGCAAGTCTTTTTTTTTTTTTTTTTTTTTTTAATTTGGACCATTTCTCGATTTATGCATGTCATCCTTGCGCAGGGGCCATTCGCAACTTTTCTTTTCTCCTTCATTAACTTCTGGATGGTTGACGGATAATAGATGTGGAGAGAGAGAGAGAGAGAGAGAGAGAGAGAGAGAGAGAGAGAGAGAGAGAGAGAGAGAGAGAGAGAGAGAGAGAGAGAG